TGATAATTACTGAAACTTTCTATTATATCTTCCGACCAACTATCGTAAATATTAGAAATGTTGGTCGAATTTGTGATTATTTCTATTTTTGAACGGAAAGTTCCATTTGAATAAACAGTTCCTTCCGGATTTCTTTTATAGAACTCACAAGTTAGAACTATATTAGATTTGGTCGGCTTTTCTTTTCTATTTATTAGATTAACGATCTTAGACTTATTCCTTTCTAGAAATATATTCGGAGCTATTCTTCCACCTTCTATTTCATAAGTATTAAGAAAACCGCGCATAGCCGTTGCTTTCTTTTGGATTCCAGAAATTCTAGCATAGATATCGGTTAAATCATCTCTGCTAATACTAGTAAGAGCATCCATAAGTAGTTGGTATTCATCATTCACGCGACTCATTATATATAACAAATATAAAACTAATTCACAATACGCGAACCGTTATTAAAATCAACGCTCTATTATTAACCCCCATAGTAGTGGTAATTTTTACCTAAAATCGCGTTTTTTAACCAAAAATCGAGTGGCTAGCCGTGTGGGCGGATTTAAAAAATCGAGTGGCTAGCCGTGTGGGCGGATTAACCAAAAATCGGGTGGCTAGCCGTTTGGGCGGATTTAAAAAATTCGCCAGAATCGGCCTATTACCACTACTGCCCTCAATTTTAATTGTAAAATCTACAAGATCAAAACAATCAAAAACCTGAGGGAAATTGCTAAATGAATTTAGTGTGAAGTTATAGTTTCAAAACTCTTAAACAATATAAAAAGAAACTATGGCAATCATATATTTATTTTTTTAACTTCCTTTTTCATTTATGCAAAATTCCTTATTATATTTCATGCATTACCCAAATACACTCAAAGACTGCCTATTCTGTGTTTAAAAGAGGCCTATCGCTAATTTAGTCGAGTCGTAAATGCTGCCTGTATTAGAGAGATCAAGATTCACGTTTACAACGAACCCCTAACGTCAAATTATTTTTAACATGCCAAATACACGTAAAAAGTCCTCTTGAAGAAATAGTTATGTACTCACGCACGATGGTGTGATCACGCGATTTTGGTTTTCAGGTTTGGAATTTTGCAGTAGACTTGAATCTTAATATCTCTAGAAGAATGATTCTCGGTAATAAGACTGCATAAACAGTCTCAACTAATAAGCAAGCAAGTTTGGTGAACAACTCAACCGTCGAATTGATTAAACTCGAATGCTTTGTTGAACACTTGAAAGCTCACCTTGTTTGAGTGTGCTATGATTGTCCCTTGCTTTTCCTTAGATTGTCTGTCTGTGTTGTATTACCCTTTCGTCGATTATGTAGGTTATTATCGAATAAGAGATCTACTCTTGTACTTGTGTGCAAAGGCTTTGGGGTCAAAGCAAACTGCGTAACATTCGAATAATTATAATTTGTAACGCCAAAGGCGATACTTCATTGATGAACAAAAACAATTTGACAGCTAGTCAGGAGAAATTATGAAGCGAACTGGCAGAGCAAGAAGACCGAAACTTTTTTTGACCATCCCGATGGAATTTTCATCATTTCAAACTCATAATTATTAGTTTTGTATCAAAACGTATTATCATAAAGTGCTAAAACATGAACCGATATTTCTGATTGAAAGCTAAATTCTCATTGCGGGCACTACTTGTCGCATTAACGGTAGAGCGCCCAGTTTTGTTTGTTAGTTTGTTTGTTTGTTTTTATTTGGTTTTGACTAGCATTTTCTTCGTTAACGCACTGTCTTTTCTAGGTCTGATTGTGATCTCTTTTGCACTATGTATAAAGCATAGATAGGAGAACTTGTGATTGACATGAATTCGATATGGCAGCGTAAAGAAAATTCCGTTATGCTTGGCTTAAACAAACCTTTCCTTTTCTCACACTTACTTGACTTTTTTTGTTTTCTTTTTTGACACTACCTGTTTCAAACTGTTCCTTTCAAATTATTATTTCAGCTTGGTGTGTGCCTTTTGAAGCGATTTTGTTAACGCGGTTGATTCGATTAACTTGGACCTTCGATTAAAAAGAATCACTTAAAAGACCGTCTAAAGTCAAATCCTTTGGAGCTGCCACAGTATTTTCGGATGTTTTGGCTATTGAGGAACATAAGCGACTTGAAATTTTGGCAGAATTCCGAGAAGGCCGCAAATATAAATATAAATTTCTGTTTCAGAATGGACGGGAAGATTGCTGACGCCGCATGTAGTCTTTCCCCATAATTCATTGCGCGCAAAATTAAGGTTAAAACACGTGACCTGAATCAGTGCCCAAAGAGAAAGTCGTACCATGAGATGTTTATGCAAAATTTGAAAAATAAAACGCTGAAAGGAAAAAAACTAAACTTTCCTTTGTTTCACAAATAAAATCCCATTCTTACGTGTCTGTTGTTTAAAAGATACACATTTTGACATCACGTTTCAAGTTTGACAAGAATAAAGAAATACAAAAAACTCAGAAAAACTGCTTGAGTTTACATGAAAAAGTACGAGGACTGCAATTAACATCAGACTTTGCTTCAAAAAAAAAAAATAGTCTCGTCAAAAATGTCTATTGAGTTAGTCGAGTCCTTATTGTTTCACATTTATAAACGCTTTCATCGAGTCATCGAGAGCTTCCATGAATGTGGAGTGGTGGATTGGTGATTTTACTCCATCGAATTTGCCAGTATGACTCTTGTCTCTGTATGTCAGAATATCGGTCATTTTGTTATTCTTCCAATCAAAGAACAACTGATTTACTTCTAAATCGTATCCATAATTGCTTTCTTTTGCCACGTCACACGTGTAATCTCCCTGAAAGACAATCATGTCTTTGGCTGTTTTTGTTTCATTCATCCTGAAAAAAAAAATCCTTGACATTACTAATGTACTGAGTACTGAGTACTTGAATGAATGACTGAATGGATAAACTAATGAAGGATAATGACCAGAAAAAATAGAAAAAAAGAAAAAAGGAAAAGAAAAAAAAAGAGAAAAAGGAAAAAAAATACAAAATTTTATACAAAATAAAAAAGACATGTCAAGTAAAAAAGTTGACATATCCATATATTTCGAAAACAATTTTTTTTCAGATTTAGCATTTGGCATTTGTCACGAGACAACTAAAAACCATGACCGTATAGTACATAGTACATATTAGAAACATACAGCAATGTCCAATGCGTGACATCAGGAATAAACGAACCGATGAATAACCGGATGAAAAAAAAAGCTATGAAACAAAAGAAATTGGATGTTCGAATGGATAAGGGATTAGACAGATAAATCAATAGGCAAGTAAATGAATAGGAAAGATGGATGGCTGGAATCGGTGGATAGATCAATAAATGCGGGAAATGACAAACATCTTTACTTTGTAACTACGTAAAAATCCCTCCAGACAAAGACAAACATCAGAGTGTTTGGATGGATCGCTGCAATGAAAACCATTCATTTATCAGCAAAATGACGTACCTGTTAGTCCAATTGTTCATATCTTCCTCCATGCATTTCTCATCAGGAAGTTTGACATCACCAATGATGTAACCCATTGCCCATTTTGCTTGTGCATCGAACATAGTAAATGTATACCACTGATCCTGCATGCCTATATACATCACCTTGTTATTACCACCATGGCACCACAGAATACCTTTGTACAAGCCTGGAGGATACAAAAYATTCTTTGTTTTMARACAAAGRCGTTCTTCCATAAAAGGAAATTTGTGAAGGTACCCAGTGCATAGGATGATGGAGTCAACCWCTGCACTACTGCCATCTTTGAAGTGGACAGTGTTGCCTTGRATMCTGGTAACAAGTGGTCTTTCTTCAAACTCCGGAGGCCATTTGAATCCCATTGGYWKYGTYCTGTAGCT